TGCGGTCTGTTAAGCATGAGATTCTCCCACCAGTGTTTCACACAGCAAAACTTTCTCATATAAGCATGAAATCTGCTCCTCTACCATCATACTTTGTGGTTCTCTTCACAGGAGGAGTGCAGCCGGCCCCAGGAGGAGGACATCATGGACATCCCCTTGGATGATCCTGAGGCCAACAGGGCTGCTGCCAAAATTCAGGCTGGCTTTCGTGACCGCATGAATCGTAAGAAGCTGAAACCAGAGGGCAAAATAGAAGAGGAAAAGGTAAGTAAAATTGAAGATAGCAGCCAGGGGGCCTCAGGTCAGTGGTGTTCAACTTTGGGATAAGACATGTAAGGCGGTTAAAGAGGGCTAATCCTATCAGGTACAACAACTACACTTAGTGAAATAGGTAAGTTATAAGCAAACTGCCACTTACATTCATCCTGTTGTATTTTACACAGAGCACTTTTGAGTTTTCCCAGTTTGCATTTGAGGTTTTATGAAGTAATGAGGTTTATGGACAAAAACACAATCTTTTTTTCTCATAAATTCAAGACTTTAAACCTCATATAAATATTCAAGACTATCTAAGGAGGCTGAAAGTTTGTAACATAAAAATAGCCATGATGTGCCATCTTAGGAAACAGTCTCTTGGGTCTTGCAGCTAAAGCAATTCAATATTCTATATAAGATAAGAAAACAACTTTTGGCATGCTCTTCAATAATTATTAGCGTAGTTTGATGTTTCAAGGTGGTTCCATTTACTCCATAATGCAGGAACACAGGCCATTTTTTCCCATTTACACTCCAGGAAAATATTTCCTCTAAATGGTATACATAATTAAATACACCTTTTAGAGCCTTTTTGAGGCTAAGTGAGATTAATGAAAGACGTAGCTGACTAATTTAACCACAGGTGATTTAATCTTTCAGGGGTTTTTTCTGGTATATCTGCTTCCAGATATACTTTAAAACTGCTAGTGATAAAACATTTTCATCAGAGCTTTTTCACAGATGTTTGTAAAGGCAGATTGAGTGGCTGCTGTTTTATTTTCTACACCTGTGGAAATAGTGTTGGCTTTTGAAGTGACAAAGAGCCCCATTGCACTTACTTAATAACAAGAATAACCACAATTTGTTTGCTGTCAACAAAAGCTAAACAAATGTGCAGCTATATGGTTAACTTCACAAAATATGGTGCTGCAATCTGTTAAGCATGAGATTCTTCCTCCAGTGTTTGATGAAGAAACTCGTTCCCATATGAGCATGAAATCTGCTCCTCTAGCATCATAAATTCATACTTGGTGGCTCTACACAGGAGGAGGGCATCCAGCCCCAGAAAGAGGAGGACATTGTGGACATAATGAACATCCCCCTGGATGACCCTGAGGCCAACAGGGCTGCTGCTAAAATTCAGGCTGGCTTTCGTGGCCACATGGATCGTAAGAAGCTGAAACCGGAGGGCAAAATAGAAGAGGAAAAGGTGAGCAACACAGGAAATGTGTTTAACAGCAGCCAAGGGGACTCAAGTCAGTGTTGTTGAACTTTAGGATAAGAGATATAAGACAGTTAAAGAGGGCTAATCCCATCAGGTGCAACTATACTTAGGGATCTAAGGTAAGTCATGGAGAATATGGCTATTTAAGCATAAACCAGTTTTATTCTTTTTGGAAAAAACTTTCTGAGATTAAAGTAATAGATTTGAACTGAAAGGTTTGGGGTGATGTTTAAGGGTTACATTTTAGGTGATTTATTGTCCCTTTCTTAAATTAAAAAAATATATATCGCCACACGGCTGCCAATCAATATACAAATCAGCACGGCATTTTTCAGAAGATATTAACAATTCTCAATTTCAGCACTCGACGTGATGTCTTTCTTCCAACTAATTATAGGGTTTAAATCATTTGCAAATCAAAGCAGATTGTTTCTGTTCAGCAGCTACTTTCAGTTCACTGTTGCAGACTTTTCTTTGCGTCTGTTTGTTTTTCAGACTAACACTTCAAAAGAAACAGCAACAGAGGTGACCGTTTCCAAGTGAGTCTCATGTGATGTGCAGTCAGGAGGCGCGAGTGGAAAGGGAGAGGAGGAACGAGAGGGAAAGGACAGAGAAGAGTGATGATGATGAAATACAGCATCGTTTTTTTTGCTGCTGAAGGGCTTCTGGAGTCATTTGGTTTAAGGTTTTTTGTTGGGTTTTTTTGTAGGCACAGTTGTGGTTTTATGTCGCTGTGGAAAACTAGAAAAGTCACGTGACTGCAGTTATCCTCGCAATAAAACTGATATTTTTTTGACATGCACTATAACAGTCTCATGGAAGCTGAACGTTTTTAAAACCAGAAATAATCAGTATTTTAAAAATGAATGCTGTAGTGTAAGAAGGTTTGCAATTAATTAATGTTGCTAATGCAGTATTAAGCTTACATTTAGTTCATTCTCTTTATTTAATAGCCACACATCCTATAGAAATTTGGCATTTTCAGGGGATGTTATCAAGAAAAGGGAAAATACATTGTGGAACAAAAGCCTAGAATACCAGAAACTCATCAGCTTAGTAATGGAATCACTGTTAGATTTGCAGTGCCAAGGTTGAGGAGAAAGGGAAGAACTCATCAAAAAAAGACCACCAGCTGCAGGAAGATAAGCATAATTTCCAGATGAGTTTTACAGAGGCATCATTACATGTTCTCTTTTGAAAAGCATCGTTTTGCTCTGTCATTTCATGAGCATTTTAATTACATAAGTTCTATTTTTACTTTTTAGAGAAAAATCATTTGAGTCCCGAATTGAAGACAAATCAAGTCGTTCAGATGAAATCTCGCACCCTAATGTCTCAAAAAAGACTGAAAACACAGACAATGAAGAGTCAGTCTACAGGTTCCGAACAGCAGCTGCACAGTCAGAGGAACCGAGTGGCACAGACAACCAAAGCGATCCAGCAGTAACTGTATTTGATCAAGTTGACAGGACGGCTAATGAAACTGTTCCAGACCAAAATATACCTCACTTTGAGTTAGAGCCCACTGACTTGTCATCATTCAGAGGGCTGTCAAATGTGGATGTGTGTGCTCTGGAGTTAATAGTATCAGAAGATGAGGAAGTTAACAAACAAGGACCAGCAGTTGCACACGAGGAGCTTGTCAATTCAGGAGAAGAGGAAAATACTGAAGTTGTAGAGCCAGTGGAAGTCATTCAGTATTCTGGCCTAGCTGATGTGGATGTGTGCGCTGCAGAGCTTGAAGGAACAGAGGGAACAATGAAAGGAGCAACTGCTGAGAATGTTACACGTGTTAGTGAAGAAAATCTGAAACACCAGCCGGAGGACATTCTTGTAAAATCGTCAGTGGCTCAAGCTGAAATCACTGAGAACAACCGAGAACAAGCAGAGGATCAGCCAGACAAAGGAAGCGAGGAAAGAACAGAGACTGAAGCTTATTCTGGGGAGACTCATGAAAGTGTAGCTCATAGCAGGGGTAGCTTAGATGGTAATGTTATTCCAAAGGAGGATTCTTTGGTTGAAATTAGCTTTGAAGATGTTCCAGAAGCTCAGCAGATTAGTAAGGCTGCGGAGAAACAGCCAGAGGAACAGAGTTCAACAAATGCCTTACAGATGGATGTATTAGAAATGCGAGAGAAGGAAGAGTCAGAGGACACTACTGCAATTCCAACTGGCCACTGTGTTGCTGTTACACAAGGCAGCCATAAACATGAAGCTGAAAAGGAAGTTAACAGGGCCAAATGGACAGATGACCTCAATTTAAGTGATGATGATGATGAAAAGGAAAAAGGTGAGGACACCAGCTCATTAAATCAGCATAGTACAGAGGCAGAAAAAGAGAACCAAGAGTATGAAACCAATCCTGCAATTGAAAATAATGAGCAGCTAAGTGAGGCCATATTTCTCAAGAGTGAAGATTCAGAAAAAGAGACAGGCTCAGATGACCCTGATTTCAAAGGCGGCCACATGACAGATGTGGTTGGAGGAGATATCGAAGAAACTCACAAGAAGGTTTACAGCAAGACAAGGGATCAGGAAATTAATGATGGTGGGGCGGAAAATAATTCATCACAAGCAACCCAGTCAAATACATCAATGGCTAGAATGGGGGCAGAGAGAGAAGTCTTTGAGGAGAGAGCGCAACATCCACCGGAGAACGAGGAGAGTCGGATAACACTTGTATGGTCGCAGCCAGAGGACACAGTGGAGGAAAAAGAGGTCACATCAAAGGAAGGAGAGGAACTTGGAGAGGGGATGACTGACTCTGAAATACAAGAGAAAAGTGCCATGATGCATGAGGAGGAGAACATCACGCTCCCTCACAGTGCAGATTGGGCTGCTGATGTCCACCAAGGAGAAGAAAGGCTACCTGAGGACACCACAGTGCAAGAGAGTACTGACAAGGTAATCTTGATTCTTTTTAACACTGGGTGTTCACTCCTCCCTTTATCGTTAAAATGTGAAAGCTACTTTGCATCTTAAAGGTATTAATTAATAATTGTACACAGTAAAGACATGACCCTATTAAAAAATTAGCAATAAACTGAGTTTAACACGTGCCCTGGCAGCTAACTTCATGGCCTCCACTTTCTGTTAGCCAGCTGAGGATGAATGTTTGACACAGAGATGGCTTTAGCTAGGCTACAGTTTGTTCTGTTTCCATTCCTGTCTCAGGTAGCCTATATAAATAACCTCTGTGAGGACAAGCCTGATCAACAGAGGCCTTCATTTTCTTCTCCCTCGGTGGATCTGGGGGTGGGTGATTGAAAATACCTTCGAAATAGTTCCTTTTCTGGATGACTTATGGTAGTTTGCACTTATACTTTGAATGTCATTATCTCAGCTGAAATCTACAGGAATTTCACATTCAAAGTTAAGCGCAATCAGTCTTTTTTTCACATTTGGGCACGCGGAAGAGGCCATCGGAGGCCTTCACTCCTGCCGCACTCCTCCTGGGAGCCTCCACTGCCTCCACAGATTGAAGCTTGATTCTCTAATCTGTCATCATAAAAGACCAACTAAACAATTTGTCTTGTGAATTAAGCCTGTAATTTTTTTTATTGCTGTCACAGTTAGCACCGTCTGATTTGTCTGGACCAACAGGACTCCAAACACACGCGCGCGCACACACACACGCACACAAAGTAGGAGTGTAGGAAGGGGTACTGACTATGTTACTATGGTAACCCCTCACCATCCTGCTCTCTTCATGTCGTCATGGAATTAATAGGAGATGGTGATGCTGATAGTTGCTAGGCACCCTCTGTATCAGTAATCTACCTTTAATAACAGTTTTAACTGAGTGATTAAACATCAGTTTCTGTATTTTCCTACCTAGCGATGGATTTGACTTTAGCTGAAACACAGCAAAACTGTGGAGTGTATAAATGTAAATCCAGCTGCTCAAGCAGTAACCTAGCAGCTCTCCCCTGTAATGTTGGACTGTTATGCTTTTAACTGTCTATTTACAACTGCCCACAACGAAATTCCTATACATTAATCATCTCAATACTGTGTTAGATGCACTCATGAAAGCAGGATCGACTTCTTAATTCATTCCAGTGAGTATAAATATAAATACCCAGTTTGAGAAAGTTAGCTGATCGATAAAGCAGGTCAGCCCAGTGAAATTAGGCGTTTGCATAACTTAGCATATTGTCTGAATGTGAATGGCAAGCAAACCAGCAGGAGTGAGTTAATGTCAGAGATATAACTCAGATAAATGGATGTTTTCTGTTTCTCCCTCTCTCTCCGTCTTGTCTCTGAGGCTGGCAGAGGAGTGTGGGCGGCCATACCAGCTGGGATCAGAGGGATGGAGAGGGCTGTTAGCTCACTCTGCCTCTAATAAATTTATAACACCTCCTAGTGTAAAATAGCCCAAGATGCTTACACAGTTTTATTTTCACACTATTTGTAGAATTTTCAAAGTCAGCATTTATTGTTTTATGGCCATCTGGTTTACATAGTAATTCCAAGTTTGTCACTTGTTTTTATTTGGGGAGTTTGTTATTGTAACACTGCAACTTGTGTGAATTTTAATGGTGCTTGGTGCATGTGGTAGTCTTTCCTAGTTTGCATCCAGGATGAATTAAGTTGTGGGAAAAACTGTCAAGCTATAAATTGCTGAGAGAGAAATAGAGCACAGTCCAGCCTGTTTCGTTTACTTCAGTCATCAGGTTGTTCTTAGTGAATGTTAAGCTCTGTTACATGTTTGTAACTGTAAAATGAACACAGTAGGTCAGAAACCCTAATGAGACTGAAAAGATGAACACATGCTGTTATGTTTGTAGGAGGTCTCTCTTTCTCTCCCTCCCTTCCTCTTCCTCTCTCAATCGTTCCCTTGCTGCCGCTCTCCCTCTCTCTCCCTCTCACTGTATGTCTCTCACTCTGTGCGTGAGCGGGTGTTACTGAACATACAGTGATTGTTAGTAAGAGCCAGTGAGACATCTGTATTATACCGGAGACTCGTTTAAAGAGAGCTTTTGCTTGGTCCACATAGAAATTCGGGCACAGAAGTCATAGCAGGTCATCTCACCTGAAGACTGAAATCATCTCTGAGAGTAAGAAATGGACTGTCATAACGTAAGTACGAGCTTCAGATGAACTTTTTCAAAAATATTTTTCGATCTATTTTTAGGCACTGATCAGTTTTCCAGGTGGATGCATGTACAGTTATAGTTTGTTAGTTGCCAAATGTGGTTGTCCTCGGATGCACACCGCTGTGTGTGTTTTTCTTTTTGCCTTGAGTGCAGTATATGGTAACCACTGTGGTTTCATGGTCCTCAAATAATGATTTTTTTTTTCCACATAAAGGCTTGTTATAAAACTATTTCGAGCTATTTTCATCACATTAAAAGAGAATTTTCACCAGAATATTTCAAATCAGTCTGAGTCAGAATAAATCAAAGAGCCCTCGAGGAACTCAATAACAGTAAGACTGAGAAGGTGTGTTGCCAGAAAAATCCAGTGCAGCAGCAACCCTGCACCTCTGCTGCTGTGAAAGATCTGGATTCGGGCTGCTCAGTGAGCAGTCAGACAGAGAGGCTAATGAATGCTGGCTGAACAGGTGGGTGGTCACACTCCTACACTGGAGGGGTTTCACTGGAGACATGATGCACTGCTTCACTGAGGTAGTGGGATGACAGTGGGATCATTCTGTGGGCTGCCTTTGTGTGAAATGTCAGTCTGTTACCATAAGCGAAGCACGGGGTGTAGCTGATATGCGTTTGCCACACGATTTGAATTGGTGTTTACATAACTCGTCGACAGCTTTGGCACTCTTCCACTGACAGTTTGTGACAAGCCAGAATTTCCACCCACCCTATGTTTCCTTTGGGACAGTGGATTCTGTACTTTTAGTGTCTGAACGAGAGGCTGCTGTGGCTGCGACGCTTTCGCTGGGTCATCCTTTTTTCTTTTCTTTTTACGCTGAATGCGGCAGAATTACAAGTTTATCTTTTCTTTGAAAGGTGACTTCTAACTTCACTTAAGCTTTGCTTGATGAAACTACAGTTATCCACAAACATTAAACTACCACGCAGTCTTTTTCATCAATTTTGTGCATTGCTTTATGTTTTGTGATATGAGAGATAATGGCTTTTCCAGGCTAAACGATGAAATCAGCAGTATTATATGCTGTATGTGACAAGAGGGGAAAGAGTGAGGAAAAAGCGCGCCATTGACCTCCTAAGAGCCCCAGTGAAGTTGTGTAACAAGAATGAACAAGTTGCTTGCTGTCAAAAAAGACAGTGCAACCTATATGGTTTACTTTACAAAATATGGTCCTGCAATCTGTTATGAACATGAGATTATCCCACCAGTGTTTCATGAAGAAAAGCATGAACTCTGTTCACTCATACTTTGTGGTCCTCTACACAGGAGGAGTGCAGCCGGCCCCAGGAGGAGGAGGACATAATGGACATCCCCCTGGATGATCCCGAAGCCAACAGGGCTGCTGCTAAGATTCAGGCTGGCTTTCGTGGCCACATGACTCGCAAGAAGCTGAAGCCAGAGGACAAAACAGAAGGGGAGGAGGTGAGCATCACTGGGGATGTGTTCAACAGGTCAGTGGTGTAGAATCTAGGGATAAGACTTTAAAGGTAGCCAGCCCCAAAAGGAGTGAAATAAGGTAAGAGAACAGGTAAATTTATGAGGAAAAAAATTACAGTACTCAGAAAAACAAGACTTTTTCTTTATCACTTTGCAGATTCGTGTCAAACTTGTCACACCACACACTGCTGTAAATGACCTGATTACGTTATAGCCTAATTTGTAATCGAAATAACGAAATTTTACATTTTTGCTGTGAATTGCACAGCTTGCTCAATGGCAAAATGGCATGATGAAGGGATGATGCCGGATCTAATCCAGTTTTTTTTAATCGATTTTTTTTTCTTTAATTCAAAACTTTGTCCTCCTCTTTTTTTAGAAGGTATAATCTTGGAAATATTCAATATTATCCAAGGGGAATAAGACCTTGTAACATAACAGTGACACTAAAATGCCATTTTAGTAAACTGTCTCTTGAGTCTTGCAGTTAAAGCAATTTAATATTCTCCAAATGATAAGCAAGCAAATTTTAGGCTTACTGTTAAATAATTTAGCACAGTTTGATGTTTTAGGGATGTTCCAAATGCTGCATAATGCAGGAACACGAGCCATTTTTTTCCCCATTTACACAGCAGGAAAAGAATCCATTTAAATTGTATACATAATTAAATACAACTATTAAAACCCCCTTGAGGCTCAAACCAAGTGTGATTAATGAAATACATGTCTGACTCATTTAGCAACAGATGATTGACTCTTTGAATTATTTTTTTCTGCTACATGAATCTCTTTCCAGATTTACCGTGAAAGCGCCAGTGATAAAAGACTTTAATCCGAGTTCAGTTTAGTTTCAAAAATGTCAATGTCAAGCTGCATTGTCACAACAGATGCTTTTTTTTTTTTTCTTTTTTTGTAAGCAACTGTGGAGAAGTGTGAAGACTTGTTCTGTTTCAGCTCGAGCACACGCTGCATTTAGATGGATTTTCTGCCTTCTGCAAACCAAGATCAAAGATAAAAACAGTAAAAGTTAATCTCCTGAATCTGCACATCTGCGTTCCTTCAAATCATAGTTTGTCTTTTTAAATCTGGACCACTGGAAACTTTTTGAAGATATAAAACTTTTGAATCCTAGCTCTCAAAATGCCACTTTTTTCCCCCTGTGAGACAAAAGAGCTTTTTCTTTGGGGATGAGGTTGACACAAGGCGCCTACGTCAGTGATTCTTCCTAACCCAGTTGCTGGCTGCCTTGTATCCTTATGTAGGAGAAGTATTTATAGCTTCAGGTGCATTAGGTACACTATATGCTTTAAAGGGCCAAGCAGAATTAATGGGCCTGTCGTACTGGAACCAAGCGTCACAAGCACCTCCCACAGGGGCAGACCCCCTTTTTTACAGCTGAAGTGCTCGTCAGTTTTATCGGCCATGATAAGGAATCAAGTTCTAAGCGTTGCATTATCTCTTTAAAATTAAACATATATTTTAATCATATTTGTTATATATATATTCATCGTAAGAGTCATATTTCTTGGAAATGAACCGCCCTTAAATAGAAACTCAGTTTAAAGTTTCCTTCAAGTCCTATACGGTGCATAACTGCCATGCCTGTTTCTGTTTTTAGAGACAGGAAGATCGGGGGCAGTAGAGAGAGACGACACATCTGTGCCAGAGCAGTGACACCCCTGTCCCGACCTGGATGAAGAGAAAGAGGCAAAGCAAGGTAGTGAGAGACAGCCGGCATACGCTGGCTAGGCTGGCTTTCAGGCAGACCTTTTTACCCCAGGAGTCTTTTTTCAACACAAATTAGCAGTAGAAAATGAACAGTTTTGAGGGTGTGTTATGTGAATCTTTTTTTCCCCCTTCTCTTTTTTTTTTGTGAACTTTAACACTCCTTCTCTGCTTCTTCAGCAGCCTCATCAGTACGGATGTCTTTGACCCAGAATTTGCAACTCACTGCATGTACTTGTGAAACTTCTGGTAGTGTGCTAGTTTTTAGACGATGATCTGTGAAAGTGAAAATGAATGTCCTCTAAATGCTAAACAGAGCTTTTTTTTTCCTTTCTTTCTTTTTTTTTATGGATGGATCACTTCATATGCTCTGTGTGTAAACCTCGTACGCATCACGTTGGGTGATTAGTGGCTTAAAAAGACTTCTTATTTTGCATTGTTTCCTGATGTGCTTGTATCTTGACAGTTATTGACCTATTTGACTTGCTTACAAGACTGATTAAAACATCAAAAGAAAAGTAGCTATGTATGTTCTATTTGTTTATCCTTTTGGTCACATGGTTAGTGAAATCGTTCTTTCCACATTTCCAAGCATTTTCTATAAATCTGATCTTCCAGAACAGTACGCATGCAGTAATTTACACTCCTCTTTATTTGTTTCTCCAGATGCATTTGGTACAGCTTTAAATAATAACACACTGGTTCAGTATGCTCTGTTGTTGTGTTGGTGGGATTTACTTGTTTGACTTCTGTTAAATCGGGTGTGTAGAAATCCTTTGTCCCTGTATGCAGAGGCTTCATGCTTTAAAAAAAAAAAAAAAAAAAAACACAAAAAAACTGAATAGTACCTTGCTGAACTTCGGTGTAGAGACGTGGCATTACACTAATAAATCCACCTTAAATATTCAGTGAGATGTCTGCTTTAAAGTGTCTGTCACCTCAGTCTTTGTCCGTGAATTAAATCCTTGATATTTTTGGTGTTTTTTGTAAACATTACAGGAGCCAAAGCAGCTCATTTTTCTGTGGAACATAAGCAAGGCTGGCAATTAAAAGCAGTTTCAGTGAAGCTGAAATAGTGTACTAACAACAACTCTAATGAATGATTAACACAAAACTCTTTTGTACTAAAAATGTTTTTTTTAGATGTTCAGATCATGTAAATCCACCAGCAGTTGCCTTGTCATAAACACTCTCTGTGTATATCTGTTTTACATTACATGCCAAAATCACAAAAGAATAACACAATTTTGCTTCATCTGCCGAGGCAGTCTTGTTCACTTTATGAGAAACAGGATAGAGCATCTTCAGTCTCCCGGTGCACCCACTCAGAACACCCACACACATCTGAGCCACACAGCGAACTGCACAAACTCAAACGGCACACACGCATTCTCAAACAGGAAAAACACGAGCCGTACTTCATCACGCAGATCCCGTTAAAGTCACTTATTGTCGCTCGCACGTCGCCAGCTGCAGAGGTGGAACAGCCAGCGCCTTTGCTTGCGGCGGTTTTTCGCAAAGGCAGAGTGCAAACACTTCCTTCTCAAGCTGACTTTCCTCCTCTCAGCCGCAAATCTCATGAACATCCTCTACGGGTTTTATATGGACCTGTTCTTTCTTTTCTCCTACTCAGTCCCAGAGGTGCCATGGCCACGTTCTCCTGTCTCTTTAATGACTGTGGGTGAACAATCAATATCCTGCACACCTCCAAACATAGCACAACACCCACTTCGTGCTGTACATTGAATTCTGAAGGTGATGGAAAAGACAGTTTTACAAAAAAAAAAAAAAGAGAGAGACATGAGCTGGAAAATCATGTGAGGATATTAATACATCATCATGTGAGAGCCAGATTTAAACACACTAAAGAATAATATTTTCTTCGCAGCTTGCACTTAACTAAAGCTGACCCGGACCATTTTAAGAGTAAATCACGAGAAAGATTTGCTTGGTTAGTTCATTTTCTTCCTCAGTCTGTCAGTGTGCAAAGATTTCTGGTCTCCTGGGTGATAATTAGAGAAGAATAAGCCAGGACAAACAGCAGGGGGCGTAATTATCCTCTTTCCAGTGGTTATGACTGCCCTCGCCATCTTAGGAGAGACCATGTTTTCTGAGTAGGATACACAAGTGGGCAGTGTGCAGAAAATATGAGCTTTATTTCTACATCTGCACAAATATCAGCTGATAGGAGATGTTGTTAAATGCAAGAATCCCATATTTCAAAAGATATGAGTATCATTTGCATCATGTATGCACTGTGTTGCATCTGCATGTGTGGGGATGACATCAGTCTTAATGGGGTCTAAAAGTGACAATAGCTTCTGTTATGACACATTCAGCCAAACTAACTGAAACACACAGGCTCGATCTGTTTCTAGTCCCCTCTTCGCTCAGCTGACTGGAAATTGTCCCCCTTGATTTAGAGCCTGTAAGAAGATGAGAGGAAATGGGAGGTGTTTCTTTTAGAGAGGGCAGAGGTGGAGGGGAGAGGTTCGACTTTGATGGCTCACTACACAGGAGTACCAGCCCTGTGAGAGTGGTAGTCAACAGCAGCTGTTCCCACAGTCCTGGAAGGTTTTGTTGTTTTTTTTTTCTTCTTCCTATCAACGCAGGCTTCCTCCTCTGCATAAAACATCCCTTTGTTGTCAAACAAAATGCTCCAAAAAAACTCCTGACAAAAGACTTTTAGAAGGTGGGAGAGATGATTTATAATGCAACTGACTCATCAGTGCACACAAACAAATAAAGAAAAAAAAAACAGAAAACAGACTGATCAAACATACGGGGATTTCACACATGGCAGCGTGTCTGCTGTAATAAAAAGTGACTGCCAAACTTACAAGATATTAGAGCTCCATGCAAACCGGCAGTCAGAGGAAGGATCTAAAGCAACAGAACTATTGGATTTTGACTTTTGTTGCATTTTCACATGTACTTTTTACCTCACATGTAAGATTCCCATTTTGATTTTCACATGCATTTGGATTTATGAAAAGTTTAGCATCACTTCCAATAATTTAGTTATCTTCTCTCTAAGCTTTGCCTCCGGCTCCTGACTTCTTCTCATATGTCACTTTGCTACTCTGGTGCAGTTTCGACTCCACCTAGAGGACAAAGCAGGTACAAAACCCTCTCTATACTTGCTCTTCGTTTGCTGCTATTACTATGAATGTCTTGTACATAGCATCGTGCACCTGACACAGTAGTGCGTAAAAACCAGAAGCAAAATACCTAAAAGGCTCCGTGTGATTGGTTTGGTGGCCAAGCAGCAAATTGTGTGTTTACTGTGAGGCTCCAGTCCAGAAAGGAGTTTGAACAATGCCACAAAAATAGGCCAAAGAGGGGGGGAAATGAGTTGTTTTTCAAACTCAGACATTTCCGAGATTTAAGTAGATTCCAGAAGCTCTAAGGAACCTACTTAAAGCTCAGAAATGCTTCTGGCTGAATTAAGTAGTCCTTTCCAGCGTGAATGTCTTTCCAAAGTAGCTGAACTCGACATTGAATTGCTTTTTGTGTAGTTAAAAGAATATAAAAACTTTTAGAAAATAGCAGACGATCTACTAAAAGCAGAGAGTTTCTGTTAACTACTTTTTGAAAGGGAAGAGGGGAGCTCGTCTAAACTATGTGTCATGAACACACACACGCAAACACACATATACACACAGTTGGCTGTTGTTGGCAGTGAGTGGGGTGCTGTGTGGAGAGTGGGGCTCAGTGTGACCAGGCAGAGGCCAGTGTTGCAGGCAGGCAGGCGGTGGATAGAGTGTTGAGCGGCAGAGACGTGCCCAGGGTGGATAAACCATGCTCACTAAGTGGGAGAAAGACTCTGCCCAGGACACAAGATGAAGGTGGAGAGGAAACCCTCCTCTAGAGACGGCAGTTTCGCTGACATTCCTCCTCTGCTGAAGCTCCTTGGCCTCCTCGTCTTTGTCCTTTCAGGTAAGTCCAAGTCTTTGTTTGACTATTAACAGAAAAAAGAGGGTAATGATCTGCAGGCTGCTTTGCTGAAGGAATGTAAATAGTAAATTGAATGCAAATAACAGCCTGAGTGTGCCAATTCACAATAATTATCATTCAGTTCACATCTTTATTTCAGATTTATATTATTTGATAGCCTTTAAAACCCAGATCCAAGTCTTTCACCCCGACTCTTTTTGAAGCAAAGTTAATCCCAGTTAATTTAGACGCTGATGCTTTTATTTTTGTCCTTGCACTTTGTGAGGTTGGCAGCACAATGGATTTGTTCTAGGGTGGTGCTCGTTATTGGGCTCCCATTTAAAGCTCAAAGGAGCATGGAGAGGCCATTGAAGGCGTGCGAGGAGGGGATGTCTAGGTTAAGTGTGATGATAAAGAGTTTTGTGGAGAGCTGTTGAACTGGGCAGGGCCTTCTCCTGAGTGTGTGGGTAGTTTCAGATGAGGAAATGATGACCAAGTGTCAAAAGTTTACAGTACGGTGAGTTTGGTTTTAAAAGGTTTGGATTGATTTCTCAGCTGTACCAGTTTACCCAAAGCAGGCGAGTTTGGTGGAATCACTGAATCCTGTGTCCATCTCCAACTTCACCACTGACAAAGAATTTCTCTCTCTAACCCTCCCTCACTCTTTTCAAGGGAGGAAACTAGTCTCAACAATCATGCCCTTTGTCTTATTGCCTTGGCAACCCCTGTCAGGCAGACCAAATGGTTACCACGGCAATGAGGCGATGCCTTGCTAGCTGCCTTTCTGCAAGAATGGTCGCTCTCTCTCTCTCCCTCTTTTCCCCTCTCTCTTCTCTGTCGCTCTCATAGGTTGATCTCTCCATCACTGAGCCAGAACAGTAGGATGCCCCTCATGGGCCCGAAGCCACTGTTCAGACCTGCATGTGTCCAGCTACAGCTGATTTACAGGAACTCCACTGTGGACATAATGGCTTTGCTGTGTTTGGTTTCCAAGACAGGGTTTCTTAAAAAAGCTGAAATGTGGCTCACGCTATATTTCCTTATTCCAATGTCCCTGTGGGGGTGGAGGATAGCTGGGGTGCACAAATCAAAATTAGTGTATTACTTGTTCACTCCAGGAGATTATGAGGAATTCTTGAGAAGGAGGGTGGGGTTCACAGAAACAGGGTAGTAATCAAGACATGAACACTGAAGTAAAACCAGCATGTGTGTATTCAGTAAAACTAAAATGTGCCAACCTTTTGATCGTTAAGAGAGAGAAGAAAAAAGTGAAAGTTAAAAAAAAACATGTCAGAAATGTTATTAAAGGATTTATTGCCCACATTTAAGTCATCGGTCATGTAAAAGCGATTCTTTTTCACATAAAAGAGCAAAAAAGGTTTCGACACTCGAGAGAAAAGCACTTGCTATCTCTATTTCAAGGCGGCCTCTGCACATTTAGGTCAAATGCATTTAAATACTTACAATCTCCTCTTGTATTCTAGCGGCGTAACACGACTGCAGTGATCACAAAAGTTCCCAGTACAAATAGATGCTCTTAGACACTTTAAACTACTTCACTTTAAGAACTGCAGGTTTTACAATATTTGGCAGATTTGCATTTGCAGGTAAAATTTTAACTCAAATGCATATGTATAAAATATCAGGGTGATCCAGTAGGAGAGCAGCTTTGGAGTATACCGCATAGGCGCAAATGCCAACAGCTGTGAGTTCTTGGTTTGATTTCTGGCAAAGTGGACATTGCTACATGGCACTCCCTGTAATTTAATAGGTTTTACAGCTTTAGGTACTGATAAAGAGCTTTTCCAAGGTAAATACGTAACATAGTGTGCAAAAACATTTTTACACAGGATTTTTTACAATACGAAAAAAAGGAAGAAGCAGAAATCTTTTATATGACTTAACAAAATCTTTCTGTTTTATGACTTACTTCAAGCCTCAAATGTGACAGATATCTTTCTTTTACTACAAA